AGCAGCAGTTTTATACGTGTGTTGCAATCTGGTCCCAAACGACATGATCAGGCCTCGAAAGCATTATTCTCACAAAGCATGCACAAAATCTCTTTTAACAATTTTGTGATTATTAGACGTAATGAGAACCAAGAAACATTATTCCCAATCAAGTGCATCATCAAATAACCATTATAAAATCAGATGATTGCACTTACGATTGGTTATTATCGTACTCGATCTCGGCTGAATACAATCGGATGAGCATGTTTCGTAACTTTAGTTTCGAGCAAGGCTTCGTCAAACTCAACAGATATATATGAAGAAGCATGGCTGAATTCGTAAGAATAAGAATAAGAATAATACTGGTAATAATGGCGATAAGGATAACAATTATGGAGATAAACATCTAGACAACATTCAAGGCACGCGAATACCCCTCCCCCCCCCTCCAAAAAAAAAAAAAAAAAAAGAAACTACCACAGACGTAGCTAAGAAGAGGCGAGCCTCTCGCGCACGCCCTTTCTGTTGTCAAGAGAGACACGGCCGACGGCAGATGGCAGACCGGCAGCCCGGGCGTCCGTGTGGCCTTCACAGACAGTCCAGGGGGCGTCTCAGGAGCAACGTCCGGGATGGCAGTGCGGTCGACTGCCGGAGGTGGCGGGACAGCGGAAGAGAGTCATAATGGAAACCCTTACTTTCTCTTTCCTTCTGAGGCGACCGTTATCGTCAAAGCTCGGCTGCACAGGAAATCAATACTTAAGTGGAGCGAGACAGAAAGAAAAAGAAAGAAAAAAAAAACGTTTAAGAGTTCTTTTCTGTCTTTCTCTTCCACGCTCTTTTTTGTTTCTCTCTCTCTCTCTCCGTCAGCTTCACCTCTCTCTGTTTCTATCTTGTCCTCTCTTACACAGATACACGTACCAGTTCCTATTCCTCTATTTTCCTCCGTCTTTACTTCCTCTCCCCTCTCCCCTCTTCCCATCACAGCCCTCTCGTCTGGCCTTTATCGAGGTGTTATCCCCTCTGGACCGACCGGATGGCGCTTTCCTCCCCGTCAAAGGCCCGGCCAGCAATAAACAAGTCTGACATGTGACATTAAAGCCCAGTGATCTAAAACAATAACCCTTTGACAGCACGCGGCCCGAACAATACCTCACCGCCGCAGCAAGTGACTTACGTGCCCGACATTTGATACACTCCGCGACGCCCATTATTATTTTAGACTCGATTTCCTCTTGTTATTTTTCATCTGTCGTGAATGAATGGTTTCTATTGTTATTTATGACGCGGCAAAGACGTCGTGTGGATAAGCGGGCGGCCTTTGATGGCTTTCAGTGTCAGTAAAATTAGTTTGATAAATAGGTGGATTCCTGCCGAGGCTGTGATTGGGCGTCACGTGAAAAGGCGTCACATGGGAATGCTATGTAGCCTTTTATCTTTGTGTCTGGATGAATGATTTACTCTCTAGCGTACTACCGTGAAACATCATATCTGTCTGTCAATCTTTACTTATCTATATCCAAGCATTTATATATACATGTTTACATACATCCAGACATGTATTATATATATATATATATAATATATATATATATATATATATATATATACATTACATAATACATACATACATTACATACATACTATACATATACATATACATACACATACACACACACACACACACACACACACACACACACACACACACAACACCACACGCACGCACGCACGCACGCGCACGCACACACACACACACACACACACACACACACACACACAAACACACACATATATATATAATATATATATAATATATATATTTGTGTGTGTGTGTGTGTGTGTGTGTGTGTTTGTT